ATATGAATGCACAGAAACTAGGTTCAGAGCTCAACAGAAGAAATTGGCTGTAATGCAAATAGGAAAATAGTTCCAAAAATGCAACATTCCCTTTCCTTTTTTTTTTTTTTTTTTTTTAATGTAAGAGTGAATTTAGTGATGAGAAGTACCGAATTTGCCTAGAAACCACGTTTGGTGTAAATTGTAATAAAGTATGGAAATTCATCAGGAATATGCGTTCTAGCCATCAGTATTTACCCGAAGGGATTGAATCCGTACGTTGGACTAATTCTAAACCTTATTTGTCAAAAGAATAAATTTCCACTCTCCATTGGCTTGACTTCCATGTAACGGGATTGGGTACTCTTTAACAAAGGCGAAGATGGACCACACAACTGAAAGGCTTAAGAGAAGACCTTTGACCACAACGATTATAAGTTGCTTCGTGCTTGGAGGACTTAGATCTGAGTTACACTAATCTCTCAGTTCAAATCTAGGATAACTAATTGCTTCATTTTCAAAGATTTCATTTGTTGACAAATATGGTTCCAACACGAATTCCTCCTCCTCCATCCCTCACCCTTTCTGTTTTTGAAACGCCTCCTCCACCCCCCAGTATACATAGAGAAACAAGAGGAAAAGTGTGGGACCTGGTGGCTGCCATTCTTCTCCCTTTCTCTTCTGTCATTTTTTTTGTCTTGATATTTCTGGTGGTTTTGTCTCTTCGTCGACGAATATATAGAGCTAAACATAAGGAGGGAGATCAAGATCCAACCAAAAATGGAGATATATTCTCAATATGGAATTTCAATGGAAGGATTGCATATGAGGACATCATTATAGCAACCGAGGATTTTGACATCAAATATTGCATTGGTACTGGTGGCTATGGTAGTGTTTATAAAACACAGTTGCCAAATGGCAAAGTAGTTGCCTTAAAGAAACTTCATCAAAGAGAAGCAGAGGAACCAGCTTTTGACAAGAGTTTTAGAAATGAGGTTAAAGTGCTAACAGAAATAAAACATAGAAACATTGTGAAGCTTTATGGGTTTTGTTTGCACAGGCGATGCATGTTTTTGATCTATGAGTATATGAGCAGAGGAAGCTTGTCTTGTGTCCTTAGAACTGATGATGAAGTTGTGGAATTGGATTGGCTCAAAAGGGTGAACATCATCAAAAGCATGTCACACGCTTTGTCTTACCTTCATCATGATTGCACCCCACCCATTCTTCATCGAGACATATCAAGCAACAATATTCTTTTGAACTCAGAATTGGAGGCTTTTGTTGCTGACTTTGGAAATGCTAGGCTTTTGGATCCTAATTCATCCAATTGTACTATACTTGCTGGCACTCATGGTTATATTGCCCCAGGTTTTCTCCATTAACACTCTTCTTCTCTTATGTTATTTCACCCTCTACAATCGTTAAATTGCTGTGTTAAAGTGTGTGCTTTTGTATGCAGAGCTTGCCTATACAATGGCTGTGACAGAGAAATGTGATGTTTATAGTTTTGGGGTTGTGGCATTAGAAGTATTAATGGGAAGACATCCTCGAGAACTTCTGATGGTATCAGCGTCGTCGTCGTCGTCATCATCTTGTTTGCAAAATGTGCTGCTAAGTGACATATTAGATGTGCGTCTATCCCCTCCAAGAACTAGAAATCTTACCCAGAATATTGTGGTTGCTGCTACGCTTGCATTTGCTTGTGTGCATGCAAAACCCAAGTACAGGCCAACAATGAAATTTGTGTCTCAACAATTTGTTGCCCGCCAAAAACCACTTTGGAAGCCTTTTCCAACTATTTCTCTGTTGGAACTGATCAATAGTGAATTGGAGATGAAAAATGGAATAGAATCTCAACCAAAAGTTTCTAGTCATCCAGTCAAGTATCATGGTTCTTCTTCAAATGAAATTCTTGATGTCTAATTCTGGGAATCAAAAGACTACTTTGTTTTCATAAGGATTGTCAATAAAATAACTTCCTCCTTTGGTTACTGAAAGAAGCATCCGTAACGTATGTGTAGCTAATAAATATTTTACTTTTTATATATACATCAATAAGTTAACATAGTCTGAGATCCCAGAAATCATTTGTCACATACTAAACAGTGAATTAATGTTTTTCCAAAGTTATTTTAGAATTCATTAATTCATTTGATTGTTAATATGTAGCTTAAATAGCATATCTGCTCATCTTATTTCTTCAGTTACTAGAATTGTTAAATACCCAATTCTTATTTGATTGCAATCAATCAAGGAAGTCAATAAAATATTTAATTCTAATTTCAACCCAGCTCCCAGATGGGAATTGGGGAAAGTTTCTAAAATTTGTTAAATACCTATAATTTTGTCAAGGTGGTGAGCCTGATCGTGGCTGCTCTTGATGGGTCCTGTGAGCTCCAGAAGCCAACGAGCTAATACGGACTACCGCTGAGAAATTTGTAATCTTCGTCGGTTAGATATTGGGTGGAACGAGTGGCAGTTTTTTTGCTGCTTTGACAAGATAAGAGGAAAATCTGTGATTCACTTTGTTCTTATTAACTGGGGGTTGGTTGAAGCTCTGCGCCGAGAAGAGAACCCATTTGAGGGGTTATCAGGAAGTCCAATAGGGGAGCACAGGACGAAAGTAGTTGAGGAAGCTGAAATGAAGTCGCAGTAACCAAAATGATGTCGTTTCAAGGCATTGTATATGTATTAGACTTTTTATTTTTTACTTTTGAGAAATATATGTATTCCGTAGACTTTAAATGTACGATGTTACCTAGGCCCAATCACTTTGACACGAAAGCCACGGCACTGACCCAATGGCTATTTGGTGAAAATTGTTAAGGGGAATATTTATTAAGCATGATTAGTTGATTTCATTCTAACAAAAAGTATTAATATTTTTAAGAAATATAATAATACCTATTATATATCATTTCATATATTTTAAATTAATTTAGTATTAAAATTAATTAATTTTAATTTTATTTGAATATTTAAAATTAAATTATTTAAGTAAATTAATTAGTTACGCTAATTTTTAAAAAAACTGACTTCTTTTAATATAATTTTGATTTTAAATTTTAAATTTTTATTTTTTATATATTTACTAGTAACTAGTATTATATTTAAATTAAATTTAATAAATTTAAATTTTTATGATAAATTTTTTTATTTATAAAATATAATAATAGTTACTAAATATAGAAAAAAATGAAAATTCAAAATTAAAATTATACTAAATAGGAACTTAAATTGACTTTAAGTGACACTAACTATTGAAATTTTAAAACATTTTATTTTATCATAATCAACTAATATAAAATTGAATTAATATACATTTAAAGTTTTTATTATTCATATAATAGCAGATATTTTTTACCTATTCAATATATTTTCACAATTTATATTAAGCAAATCTTCATCATTAATCTATTATATTGTTATGTAAATTTAAATAGATAAAAATATGAGTGGTACTATAGGGATAATTTTTTTATACCACATTTTTATACAACTTTCATATGTTATTAAATGAGTGAATGCATTCAATATCATGGATCCTACATAAATTAAAAAAACCAATCATTTAAATGATACATCAAGTTGTACAAAAAGAAAAGACAAAAATGTTGTATAAAAATCATTTCCCTAAAAATATACTATACTTTGTAAAATTCTAGTTATCATTAATACTGCACAAATTAAATTGGTTTATCTTTAATTTTTGTTGAATTCATAATATATATTATTAAAAGTTATTGTAAAAAATCTTATCTCAATCGTAATTATGTTCTCTAAATTAATTTTAATAGTGATTAATTATTAAATAGTATTAAGAATAATAATATATATTTTACATAAAATAATAAATCTAAAATATATAAAAATTATAAATTTATATATCAAATTTATTAGATTATATCATATTTTTATATGGTTAAATTAATTCATGATTAAAAAAATTAAATATTTCATTATGAATATATATATTTGATATTACAAAATAAAATTTTAAAACAAATAGAATCAATTTAACCATATGAAATTTCAATCTTTAATTTTCTTTTGATATTGAAATCTTCTTTATCATTTCTCTTAGTCTCCAAAAGTTTCTAAAATTTGATAATATTTATAAATCGTAAGAAACTCTATTAAGAAAAAATAGGATCTGCCACAAAATTTTAACTTTTAGAGCTAAAAGTGCTTAGAGTGTGGACACCCCAAATAGGTTTCTGTACTTCTGTTTATCAGTTTATCTCACGGGCATGACTTCGAAAGGCTTAGAGCATGATATCGATACCACTTGGTTGGTATCGACACCATACTAGTGTCGGATTTTTAATCTTTTTGAAAGTTCTTCAATGGTAAATTTGTAGATCTGGTCCTCCATTTTCTATCCAATGAGCAATTTGATCCTATCTTCTTCAAATACAGTCACTCAACTTTTAAAAGATATTCAATTAAATCTAAAATTTTCTATTATTATGCATTCAAATTTTTTTCTATACAAAAATTAAAAATTACGTAAAATTAATTGAAAATTACATCTTATCCATCTAAATAGCAACAAAACCAACACTAAAATAAGAGATTAAAAATTATAAAATGCATTTCATCACAATATGCATTAAACTTTATGTTATTTAATTTAATCTTAATTATACAATAATTTTAAACAAAGTATATATAACCCCTTAAAAAACACATGATTCCTCCTAATTTAAAAGGAAATTAAAAATTCATCTTGATGAAAAGTCATGACTGTATGCAAAGTAGGGAGATAGCCAGATAGGCATGGGCTTAACCCAAAGATTGTCCAACATCAGGTTTGGGTGATCGATGAATATGGTTATGGTGATATGGAGAAACATGTGGCGCAATGAAACGCGTGTCATGAGTTTCTTGGTCGCCGTACACCATTACCAAAGCCTTTTCATGCGATCTCGCTGTCGAAAGAGAAGAAATATGGAATGCACATGGAAGGTGTGAAAACAGAGACTCAATGCCAGACCTGGCCGGAATTTCTTTTGGTCAATTAAGTTGTAAACTTTTGAAAACGTGGGCAATATAGTCCTTGTCATTACCAAAGCCTTTTCATGCAATCACTCTGTCGGAAGTGAAGAAATATGGGGTGCACATGGAAGGTGTGAAGATACAGACTCAATGCCAGACCTTGCCAGAATTTTGTTTGGGTCAATTACGTTGTAGACTTTTGAAAACTTGGGCAATATAGTCCTTTACTTGTCATTAAGATGTAAGATGCTAACACGGAAAGCACTGAGCACAAAAAAATAATAATAATAATAATAATAAGAATAATAATAATAATAATAAAAACAGCGGAAATGGTGAGTGATGACCTGGCAAAAATTTTAGTGGGCCTGCCGTTCTCTATCTTAATTTTTTGTGGTGTTATTGGGATAATTTTTTATTTTATTTTTTTATATAATTTTTACATGTTATTAAATAAATTGATACATTTAATATTATAAATTTCATATAAATTAAAAAAATTAATTATTTTAATGATATATCAAGTTATACAAAAAAAAAAAATAATAAGACAAAAAAAATTATATAAATATCATTTTCCTTCTCGTCTTGTTTCTCGCGAATATGTAAAGGAGTAAAATTTCTCCCAAAACTGATTGGTGCCACCAAACAAAACCCTAGTTCTCAAATTGCCTAATCTATGTTCAAATTCGATAGAAATTTAAACGATTTCTTTAGATAAGTTAACATCTATTGCAGCGAGCGTTAGTCGATTTGATGGAGGATATGAGATTTTCTTTCCAAGAGCCAATAGTGCTTCGCTATAAAGGCGGATCGTTATCCTCAAATATAGTTCTCAGGTCATTTCGTTTCTTTCTCCCCATCCCACAATTATTGGGTTTGTGAAAACGCAATCATTACTCATTAGAGAGAAGATCCGATTCATCGCAATGGATGCAGGTCTTTTTAAAATACAAAGAGATCTTGACCCTGAGTTGGGTCAACAGTAGATTGATGAGAGTGTTCTTTTATCCAGTATGTTGCAATAATGACATAAATTTATCAGGTATGAACGCAGCTCCAACACGTTTTCTCTGACTTTTTATTTATTGAAATTTACAAGTGGATGGCACAAGGTACTCGCACCGAAATTGTTTGAAAACTACCCTTGGAAATTCTAAGAGACATTAATTCATCTTGGACATGGTTTCTAACCTTCTATTAGCACGTTTATGGTGCTAGTTATTGCATTCCACCATCCCACAATTTCTCAGGAACCCAAGGATGAGAAAAGTGAAAAGTTGTTCACACTGATTAGAACTAATTTATTTGTCAGTTTTTCCAAGTACGGGGCATATTGAAGAGAAATAGCCTTCTAACTCTGCATTGACTTGAGTTTGATGTGTCGGGAAAGGATAGGGTCCACAAGTGTGAAAGGAAATTCACATTAGAGGAAAAGTGAAGACCCACCAAGCACCAACAAACTGGAAAGTGGAAGGGAAGACCTGAATGCAGTGAATATAACCTCTTTAGATTCAGAAGAAGGCAAGAAAGGGTGAGTTAACCCCCTACATTTCAACATATATACAAAACAAGCTTAAATATGACCACCTCTACCATAACAGGTTCCATTATGGCAGCATTATTGGGTACATTTGTTTTGGGATAGAGGGAGTAGTATAGAGTTTTGAAATAATTTGAAATGTTTGAAATTGAAATGGCAAAAACACACATTGAGAAAAGAAAGGAAGACGGATGTCTTTATTTGGCGTTTAGAACCTAAGACCATGGTTCAAAACTTATGACTGGGAGGGCAAGAAAGTTCTGAAACCAAATATTGGGTTTGGAACCAAAAGGTTAGCTAAAAGAATTTATGAAGAGCATTTAACTTTCCAAACCAAAGTTGGGGTTCGAAACTTTTGATACAAAATGCTAAAAATATTTGGAACCAAAGTTGGGATTTGAAACTTTTACCCTAAATACTAGAAGGTTTTTAGGACAATTGAGCATCTTCGTCCATCCATGGATATAAAGTCCTCAAATCAAAACCAAGACTGAAGTCCCAA